GGGGGAGCTTAAAGGCGTAAATGGGACAATTAATTTGTCAATATTATAAGAACTTTTGGCATGCATCTATTCAAGTCACTAGTAATGTAGCACTTACGATTTCGGTAAGTGGTGTCAAGTCACATATAAGTGCATTATACCTCTCTTAGAGCAATGATTTGAATTAAATTCTTTGCAAATTTGTTCAATAAAAAAAAAAAGTCACTAGTAATGTAGACATGTACACTTGCATAGTAACTGCATTTGGTGGACTTGTATGCTCCTTAAGTCAACATGTCGGTATTTGTAGAACGTGCGGACAATAATTACGTTCCAATTATCAGGATAAGCTCTTTGCCAACGTCCATCCTTCATCACAAGAAATGGAGACAAAAAAACATGGAGTATATATTGGGATTAAGACTTCCACCCAATTTACAGCCGACCTAGTTGGTATAATTCAATATACTTATTTAATTATTTATCAATTATTTTCAGTGAATATGATCGACTTGGAATTTTTTTTTAAAAGTAAAATATTTAAATCTAAGCTCAAAGTATAATTGTAGAGATGGATCCATTAGTGAACAAGAAATAAAGAAAAATTCATTTACAAAGTAGTTGACTTTGATAAATTATTCAAATTTAACATATGACATCATCTGATTTCAACAATTTGTTAATTTAATGTCATCTTATGTCAACAATCCGTTATTAACAATATAATAAATTAACGAATTACTGATATCAGATGATGTCACACGTTAAATTTGTGATAATTTATCCAATTCAAAAATTTTGTGAGTGAATTTTTTTTTTTGTTTGAAGTAGAACCATTCTGCCACTATACTCTGATGGTGGAATTGAGTATTATTTTATTTTTTTTAACAATAAAAAAGTACAAAAATAAAACACATTATAATTTTAAAATTAGTTAATTTGAAGTTGCGTGAAATCCTATTCGAAATTTTCTTTCTAATTATTGAAGAAGACGACTCTTTTCATGACAAGATTAAGCGGAAGATGGCTGGGTAAGTGGTGGCAAGGCTCTTTGGGTTCTCAGATTAGTACACTTGAAAACGACCCACCACTCACCTTATATATTCATATAATTCCAAGAAAAGGAGGTTAACAATTTAATTATGATAAACTTAACATCATAAATACGCTTGTTAATTGTTTTATATATTCGATATATAGACGAAAAGATGCCAGTGGGAAAACTATTACCTGAATAAGGATATTTGGACAAGGGTGCTAGGCCACCACATGTGCGCCGGCTCCACCACATACTTCCTCAGCAGTCCCGCCCAACCATACCCCAGTACCTGTTAATAAAGATAACAAATATATATCTTATTCCTTTAGCAGCAGAATAATGTATAAATTTTAATTAGTTTTATTTTCAAATTATAAGAACTTGGGTTTTATTTATAGTTTTTTCTATTATCCTAAAAAAAAAAATAAAAAGTTTAGTTTATGATAAAATATAAGGTTAAAGTTGAAAAATAATGATAAAAGTTAAAAAAAAAAAATCTCTCTTAAAATTTGAAAAAGGAGAAATTCTTATGGTCTGTCTTTTTTGACCATCATCAATGAAAATTTTTGTGGGAAAATTGAGCTGTAAGATGATAAGTTGGAAAATGACTACCTTTGTGTGGTACTGGTCAAATCATGAAGAAAAAAATGCGTTCCCTCAAAAATCATTTCTAGGTTCATACTTTATCTAGTATAAGTTTACTCTCCAAGAGGAAATGGAGGGGAGAAAAAAACAAAAAGGTCAAATGTCTAAAATGCTTTTATGAAGAAAGTGCTCCAGACAGATTTAGCCTCAAAAATTGACAATTTTTTCCCTTTGGGTGAACGGCT